TTGTGCAACACATACATTTCACACTTGAATTTTTTTAAAAAAAAATAAATAAATCACACGCTAAATTGCTCCAGGAGAAGGAGCCAGAGCCTGAACCAGGGTGGTATCTCAGTCTTCGAGTGTCACATCTAATGCCACACCAGCAACACTCAGCTCAGACCCTGAAGGATCTACTGCATAACCTGGTAAACAGAAGAACAAGGCTCATTTAGTTCCACTCTGGCTTGCAGCTCTAGCTGAAAAGCAGCTATATGCTCACTGTTTCCATTAAACAGAGATTTCTTCCCAATTTGGAAGGCTGCATATATGTTTAAAGCAGGGTGCAGGAGAAAGGCCCTTCCATTGACAAGGATCATAGCAGCGCAACTTACATCATCATTTTCCCGTTGGAAACAACTACAAGTTTTAGAAATATGCATAAACCTGGATTTCTAGAAGCTGATATCTAGCCTTGTAGCAGTTAGGACTGCTATGCCCCATGTTGGAATACCCAGGTAAGGTGGCCAGGCACAGCTCCCAACTTGGGCTTCCACCTAATGCAGCACCTGGGGAGGAGTGGGGATGGCTCAACGCACCTGGGATCCCAGGGACAGAGTGAACGTCTGCCATCCACGTGGGGACCTGGAATGACTGCCCGGCTCTGGCTTCAGTCCGGCCCTTAACACAGCTCTTGCAGGCAACTGGAAAGGAACCACTTTCTCTCCATCTTTCTCAGTCTCCCTCATCTCTCACACACATTCTCTCTTGCATGTGTGTCCCTTTGTCTTTTTCTTACATAGATAAAAGTAAAAAGTGAAAACCTGAACTCTTGCTGAAACAGTACAAGGTTGAGTGTCTGCACAGGACATGAGCTGCTACTCAGGCTATGAGCCTTGGGCAGGGTATGCATAAAATGGGCACAGATAACAAAGTGCTCCTGTGTTATCTTGAATATTAAACAAAATTGTCCACGTAAACCACTTTGCACAAGTCTGGAAACCTGGTACTACATAACCAAAGCCAGTTCTTGACATTCTTGATAGTACTGAGTAAAACTGCTGGTGTGAGGCTCGGGCAGAGGATTCCTTCTCAAGGTTTCCATGAAGTAGAAAACTGCGGGAAGAGGTTGGTGCCATGAGACACTTCAGCTCAGCATTCCTGCATCCAGACACCAAGGGACACATCACTGGGAGCTGCTCCACTGGTACCAAGGATGCTGACTGAAGCACTCCGGTACACCTAAGGGGAAAGACATCATAGAGAAGAGGCTCCCAGTGAGAAAAGAACAGAGCAGGAAATAGCCTTCCAGTGTGGAAGTGGCTGCGCCGTTTTAACAGGAAGGATTTGGCATAGCAGATGCACAGCAGCACAGCTGGAAGAATGCTCGGTGTCTCACCTCATCTGCACATCTTTGGACTCGAAGTCAGAGAATTTAACTGTGTAACTGAACAGAAGACATACTCAACAACAAGGGATGCAGGACAAAGCAGGAACACTGAGATTTCCTGCACCCACAATGCTTAGGCTGGTATTTCCTGCTGACAGTGGGACACAGCGAAAGCAACACTCTTATCTCACTAAATCATGACGTAGGGCAGAGAAGGCTCAGCAAATAAGAAGACAGTTCCTTGCTAAGAGGAAAAAAAGGCAATTCATTCCATTCCCGATTCAAGTTTTAGAAAAAGGCAAAGGTTTTTCAAAAGTGTGTATTATGAAAACCCACACTAAATGGGCCAAAATATACATATCTTTTAATCCTGTCTTTTTGCAGGTTTTCTGAACTGCCCTTCCGTAAGTGAAAAGCTCTGTCCTGCAGGAGAAGGGCCTCTGGCACAGCTGATCGAACTCCGTGTGCATCTGCACGTTTGCTTTGTTGGGCAGGAAAATGCAACTGAAGGAGAATCAGCCGCAGAACGGTCGCACCTGACAGGCGCACAGGATGCTGGCAGCTCTACAGGCTTGATTCTCCTTGTTTTCAGTTGTGGCCCAGCCTTCCTAACGCTGAGACCTCCCAAAGCAGCTGCAAGGCCAGGCCTGACACTGACAGTCAGACCATCAAGCCCTAACAACGCGACTGGCTAAAATGAGTGAAACTTGGAATTCCAAAGAACATCTCAAAATACAAAGCTTATAACGTTTTTTGAAAGTACCTATTTCTATTTTTTATCAAGTGTATGTTTTCCTGGTTCACATTTATTTATTATACTCAAATAACAACAAAAATGGCCAGAGGAAATATATCACAATCACAAACACAAAAGGAAATTTTCAAAAGTGCTTACAAGTGAAAGCTAAATTAGTTAGATTCGTTTCAGTATTTCTCATGATTAAACAAAACTTTGAGTAATTTTTGAGCTTCTGTTTATTTAATTTTAACCATACCTGTGAACAAACGTAGCAAGAGACCTCAAAGTTCGAACAAGTATCATTTCTACATATGCTTATTTCAAACTTTCTCAGCTTCGCTCAGAAAGGTAAATGAAATCTTACACTGAATTGTACAGAATAACCAATTAATCTGTTCTTAACTATGTGCTCAGTCAATATCATTAAAAATTGAAAAGTACTGGACAGATTCATTATTTGTTTTATGTTTAAAGAATAAAATAGAAATCAAAAAGTAAAACTCCAGACACATAAGAGTTTGTGGGAAAACAGAGTTAAAAAGTAAATTTTGGTGTCAAAAATTTGAAATATGAACATAATGGCTTCATAATATGTATCTTTACAATTATTTACTCATTCTTATTTCGTTTGAAAGGTGAGTGGAGAGTGAGAGGTGAGATGGATCTTTCATTCTAATACCTGCACCAAACATGTGGGCCAAGTCGGAAGCCGACTGCTGATCTGAGGCCAGTCTCCAGGGAACCCTCTTGCTTACCCATCTCTGCTGTCCCCAAGGAGCACACTGGCCAGGTGTGCACACCCAAGCTGGCAGGCAGGTGTCCCAGGCAGCGTCTGGACTGTTGTGTCCTAGCCTATCTACACAATGCACATACTTCACTAAACTTCGGAAGATGCCATGGGTATAACCTAACGTTTAAGCAAATCACTGATTTGGTTTGAAGCCGAACTGGAATCTTGCTTCGATTTCTGTATTTTTTTTTTTACTTGAGAGATTGATAACATTAAAAGTAGGATAAGGCATACCAGATACTTGTTTTAATATCAACCTCTGAAAAATAAAATTTTTCCAGAGTAACTTAGAATTGCTCCTCTCCTCTCAGTGATAGTACAAGTATCAAGACCAGTCACTTGGGATGCATCTCATCACTTAATCTGATACTGCCTTTCATTTTCATAAATTTTTTCTCCCACACAAACAAGGTGCTGTTTTTTTTCCCCACCTGTAAACACGGTAAACAAAGATGGTACCACTCAAGCATCTGCAGTCTGACTGCTGGGTCACAGACTGGTCATTCTCCAAGGATGAGACAGTGCTGGCTCTCCCTGGAGTGTCTGACACAGAATCACCCAGCAGAAAGCAGCCCAGTCCTGAATGAACGTGGGTATTATGCAGTGTCAATGCACGTCATATCACGTTAACCACTGAGGGGTGTGCACAAGTCGAGTTAGGCAGTTCTACAAGTTCTATAGGCTCTGAAGCATGAGCCTCCCCTAGAGCTTGCAGCACTTAAGGCAACAGCACGTGACTCCTTCACCCAGTGTACCTCTTCTGCCTGATGGCAGGGAACATCGAGCCACATGGACCCTGTGCCTCCCTCGAGGCCTGCGAGGTGGATGAACATCTCTCACAGAATGTCCAGGGAAGGCTGAGTCTGAAGGTCCCGCGTGTCTGGAGGGGCCCTGCCTGTAGACAGTGCAGGAGTCCTCCTTCTCTGGTGGGAGTCTTCAGGGGAAAGCCACTCAGTTCCAAGAACCCATGATAGGTACCTTGTAGTAAGTCCGTCAAGTTGGCCAACCAAACAGCACCGAACCCTACCTAGCAAGCATTTCAGCCGCCGTACCCAGTGAGAGCCTGAGCCACGTCCTGGTCAGCAGTCAGCTGGCTCTGGGCCTCCACTGTCCAGTCCGAATGTTTCTCAGCTCAAAGCCCTTGAGTTACTGCTTATTCATCACCCTCAGCCTCACTGTGAAGACTATGAGGCATGGCCTTCAACTGCAGAAATGAACCACCTCAAGATCCCACTGTGTGGCTACAGCGTGCTTCACTTTCAACATGGAATGCTGTTTTCCCGATGCACTTACTTCCTTTATAGAAATAAGCTCACTAGTGGAAAAGCAATGCTTCTGCAATGTACAACTGTGTGTGTACTGTATTTCCAAGCCTGTGTAGATGTCACAACTTTCAGCTTCTGTGATATTTCCCAAGTCCATAAGCATCAGAAATTCCTCTCCATCTCCTCTCCTCACAGTCCCGCCAATGACCCCTTTACTCTGCTCCTACAGGTTTGTCAATTCTGAAAGTTTTCTATGTGTGCATGCAATCACGCATGTAACCGACACACACAGTAACCCACACCATTATGTATAAATACATCTTGGCAAAGAGAGATTCTGAAAGCATGAGCAATATTTTATAGAACACGTGAATATTTATCCTCCCCCAGAATTTAGCACTAGCGAGAATGTGAGTTACTGTTAATTGTTCCTGTCAGTCACATAATGTATCACCTTGTCAGCCTTGCAAACAACGGCAATGTTCCACCCCAGTCTGGGAGATTCTTCATCAACCAGAAGATTACTAGTTTAGAAAATATAGCCATTTTATACTTGCGAGAGAAATACTGGCATGTTTGCAGTTCCTACTCTAGGAAGGTTAGCAACTATGCTGCTCACTGAGCACTCGCCGTCAGGGGAGCTGAGATTCAGCATTGCTTCAACCCCTGCCTCAGACCACAGCACCGGAAATCCAAGCCTATCATCAAATGATGCTGAAATCATCGAGGTTTTGGGTCAGTATGTTCCTTATGGGTCTCGGTTTCTCTTGAGAGAAAGCCTTGACATTGGCTACGAAACGAACGGCAGACCGTGGGAACTGAGCTGCAGGAAGCACTTACAGCTTACTGGAAAGCACCGGAACATCGTGCAGGATCTCCCCGTAGGGCTCCTCTTGGGCCGAGGGAGGCACAGACAAAGGCTGCCTGGGTTTTTCTTCCCAGGCCCTCTCTGCTTTCAGCAGCATCTCCTCAATGAACTCAGACGCTGCAACATCTACAAGAAGCAGGAAACAAGAATCAGAGGCGAGCGAGGCATGACAACACAGCCAGCCACTGACGTTCAATCACTCTGATGTGCATCTGCGAAAGCATGAAGCAAAGCAACAGGACAGTAAGAGTTACGACAGGGATCAAGTTTCAGTGGTACCGTTTTAAAGGACTATCAAATTTTACATCAGTGGTATGCTTAATTACACATGACTAACTATAAAACAGTATCTACTGGGCGGTAAAGTCTACACTGAGAAATCACTGAGAAGCTGTGCTTGAAAGCCATGTCATTTCAGTCTTTCAAAGTCACCCAGAGAGCTTCATCCTCCCAGTGACTGGGCTATGACAAAACATGCAGCGAACACTCTACCAGCATTCCAATAAATGGGTAGATGCACAAAGAAATACTCAATTGTGTTATCATAACTGTGGTCCAGGCCTCATTCTCTAAACTTTATTGTTACACTGAAAATACAAATAAGTATATTTCTTTACAAATTAGGCATGGCAGATATACAAAGATGGAACAGCAAAATCTGTACTAACAACAGCTGAAACCAAAGCTTGATGATTCCGAATTTCACGTTGGTATCAATTAAAGAGCCTACCAGAAGTTCAGTGCTCCATTTCAACCTTTCTGAAGCTAAGGTATGTGACATTACAGGATAACCAAAGCAATTTGGATGTCACAGGAAGATGTTAGTGCTCAGTTCACTGTTAGTTGACTCGTGCTAAGGGACATACGGAAGGGGTTAGGGTGAGATCAACGTCTTCGATTTGAGAGGGAAAAGTTTCCGTCCCACGCCACAGCTGCGTACTCCTTCAGAGTCATTTAGATGTGTCCATGCTAACTTCCAGAAACATCAAATAGTGAGGTTGTAACACAGGACTGACGATATCGTCAGACGACTGGCCAGCTGTCTGCTCCGCACACCCTTTACGCAGCTCATGCTTCTTGCTGACTGGTCAGGAGTGGCCACAACCAAAATGCAGTCAAGTTTCACACTGCATTCAGTTCTTTAACCTTTGGGTGTGTAACAAGCAATCTTATTCAATTAACTAATATCTACCGAGGGCCCAATGTGTAGCTCTGACTGCCAGTTCGGCGCACAGTAGGGCCTTTGCTAATGGGAGATGAAGCATGGCCAATGGGGGAAGCCATCCTGGTAGCTTCCTCACTCACAGTGCTGATGGGATCAGAACTGATCCAGATTTGGTCATTCACGGGGCCAGAAGACCAATCGTTTCTAATAAATGCATCATCCATCATGCTAGGGAAGAGGCCGTACCATTACCCTCACTGAGGGCAGAAGTTTGTATGCACTTTGCATGCGTGCCATTGGTCACAGACTCTCACTATATCTTTTAATGTTGTGCAAAGAAATGCACAGCTCCTTTACTGTTACATTTGTTTTTAAGAAATATTTGTTTTTATTGGAAAGGCAAATATACATAGAGGGGGAGAGACAGAGAGCTGGATGGGAATCTGGGCCATTGGGATACAAACTGGTGCTCGTATGGGATCCCAGCATGTTCCAGGCAAGGACTTTAGGTGCTAGGCCTCTGCACCGGGCCCACTGTTAAATTTTAAGAGATTTAAAATATTTGTGGTTTACAGAAAAACAGATATTAGCAATTAAATGAACTGTGGAAATCTTCAAAAACATTTTCTGAAAATAAACATCACATAGTTGAGATTTTCTAGCTTTTTTCTTTTTTTATTGGAAAGGCAGAGAGACAGAGAGGAAGATCTTCCGTCCAATGATTCACTCCCCAAGTGAGCGCAACGGCCGATGCTATGCCAATCCGAAGCCAGGAGCCTCTTCCGGGTCTCCCACACGGGTGCAGGGTCCCAAGGCTTTGGGCCGTCCTTGACTGCTTTCCTGGGCCACAGGCAGGGAGCTGGAAGGGAAGCGGGGCTGCCGGGATTGGAACCAGTGCCCATATGGGACCCCGGGCGTGCAAGGCGAGGACCTTAACCACTGCGCCATTGCGCCGGGCCCTGAGATTTTCTAGTTTTTAAATGAGCATATAAGTGCTCTTTTCCTTATTTCTTGCTGTCCACCTGCCTTCATGGAAAGCAACGCTAGGTGTTATTTCAAAAGACCCCACTGAATGAGCCTGCACTTGTTATAAGAAGCAGCAGTAAGATAACGGAGTGGAACCCGCCAGCCCTAGGGTCCCGGAGCACCACTGACCTGATGGCTTCTCCTGGTTACAGTTCACCAGCTTGGGGTTTGCCTCATGCAGCAGCAGCAGCTTTACCAGGTTGGCCTGAAACATCAAAGACAGCGGGGTAGCACAGCACGCCACGTTCTACGCAGCCTTCAGCAATCCCGCACGAGCTGCCCGGCGGCCCTCACGGTCTGGCCTCTCGTTTTCTCTCCTGAACATATCAGATACTCAGACCATTTCAGCACTTGATGAATGCAAGACAGTGTCACTCAACCGATGAGGGTTTAATTGCTGAGAGTTCAAGGATGACTTTTACCTTACAGACCTACTTAGGATACTTTATGCGAGAGATTCTATAGCACAGTGGCTTGCGCTGTGTTTTAATTCAGCAATCTGTCAGAGTCTAAGCTGTTAGTATTACCCCTCCACGGTCACATCACGGACGACCCCACAGTCACACTGGGGCAGATGGAAAGCTCAGAATACAAGAATGAAGTAACCTGAAAGGTGATCAATAGATTTAAGAAAATATTACAGCGACAAAGAACTCATATCATACTCATACACAGTGATTATAAATCCAGTGCAGCCACCTTCTAAAATGTATCATCAATGACTTGAGTGTTTTCCCTCAAACCATCCCTTTATCCAGTCCTGAAGTGGATCACAGTATGAACTTGAGGCTCATCGTTAGTGTCTTTATGTGTTTGGAAATTTCGCACAGAAGCAACCCTCGACAACATGTCGCCTAGTCTGTGACATTTTAGAGGTCCTCCAGTAATGAGGACCTCCGGCACACGTTCCTTGGTGCTCTGCTTTTGTGGCTGGCCCTGGTGTGTGCCACACTGCCTCGGTCACCCAGTTGAAGCATGGTGCATCACTGGATGCACAGAATCACGTGTACATGGGAATCACACCGGCGTCATTTGCAGTCCTGCACTGACTTACAGGTAATCTTCCTCTCAATACGTCTATTCACCTCACGGTACAAAAGCTCCCTCAGGGATGTGCATTCATACTTCAAATGCCAGGATGTGGATGGAGGCATTAAGGTGGTGAGATGGCGCCACTGTTTCTTTTTGTCAAATTGTTTGATCCCAGTTACATTCCTCTAGCTGACTGCGGATATTTCAAGAGGGTGTCTAACCACTGAGCCCAGTCCACCTGCTTTTCTAACGAGATGAGTTCAGATAAAAGATCCAGCACTACTTTCGAGGATGCTGCCCAGAGCACAGAATTAATCCCAGAATCTCCACTGCTACCGCAGTGCTCAGAGGCCACTGCAGCTTGACTCAAGCGGAACCACCAGTGCAAGCTGCTGACAACAGATCCTGGCACTGTCCACAAGACGCTAGCTTTGCAGGTCTGAAGATTCCAAGACTGTGGGTTATGAGGTCATGGGTGTTTTACTGGAATTTCCCAGGAGGGTCTGGAAGGCCAGGTAAAGCTGTACTGTAAGGTGCATTTTATGAGACTCACAGAGCAATCTGCAGTGAGTCTGTGAAGGAAACCCCAGAAAATCAGAGGTGCCAGCAGCAAAGTGAGCATTGCACCAAGCACAGTGGCAAGCAGCTTGTGAGGCAAGCATGGGGAAGTCCCCAGTACGCTGCAGCATATGTGCTAAGCATAAGAGCTACATGCACCAAGACCAGTAACATCGTGCAGGAACGGCTGCCTCCCACTAGATGTCAAGGAACATTCTGGATAAACTGAGGTCCAGACAGAGACTGGGCATAGTCTCTGCACACAAGGATGGAGTCACTGCACACAAGGCGGTGCAGAGTGGAAATATGGGATTGCAGCTGTGAAGATGAGACTCCGACCTGTGGGCTGTGACCAGGAAAGCTGCAAGGATGAGGCAGCACAGGCCACCGGGGAGCAGCATCCATCACAGTGAGGTCAGGATGCCAGGCCTCAGTGACGGCTCAGATCCTCTCGCCCATGTGGGAGAACTGGCTCCTGGCTCCAGCAGACTGTCCTGACTGCTATGGGGAGCTGGAATGACTTTCACCAAATATTAGACTTTTTCTTAAATACATAAACTGTATTGCTTCAATTCTATCAACAATAGCACACTTCACGTTTTATAACTATTTTGTAGTTATTGTGTAAGAAATATGTAACTAAGTCAAAATTCACTGATTATTGATATTAGCCCAAACTAATATTCCAAAAGTCAAGAATTTGGCATGTGTCTCCATGTACATTTAGCACAGGGCTTTGCTTGTACAATCATTAAGACTTTCTTGAACGTGAAATGTCACTCGTGGTTTTAGCACTAGAATTTGGTACTGATGAATTATTTTGAATCCTTCCTTGTCAAATTTTCACATAAATCATTAAACATCATAGTTGTCTTCTCCTTCATGACTTAATGTGTCTAATAAGAAAGTAAGAGATAAAATAACTCCAGTTCATCAGCCACACTGCCCCAAATCGAGTTAAAGAAGTTTGCTACCCGTCCTACATTCATTTACAAACAGTAAGTACAGAAAACGTTCAGTCTGTCCAGTTTTGTGAACGCAAGAACATACACTGTGTCAAGAAAACATCCTTTATTCTATTCCATAGAACGTCCGTAGCTGGGATTCATTTTCCAGTGGTTTGGCCACAATGTCTGGAAGCACATACAGGCTTATGCGCCGTTGTTAAAGTAAATGCGTTCCTTCATAAACGTATCTGTCTAGTGAGATGAGGCTCGAAAGGCACAAGTCTTCCCCAGCCTGGGGTGCTGCTCCCCACATGGAGCACCCGGTTGCAGTCCCAGCCCAACCAACCTGCTGTTTCTGCAGAAGGAAGAGGTGATGGCTCAGCGGGCTCACTGACACCCACATGGGTGATGGACCAGCCTCCCGGCTCCAGCCTGGACCCACCTCAGTTGTTGCTGGTATTTAAGGAGAAATCTAATGACTTGGAGTATGTTCTGTGTCTTACCTATGTCTGTGTATCCCTTTTATAAAGTCAATTTACACGATTAAGATACGACGTTTGTTGGCCATAAGGTTGTTTCAAAAAATGAATGAATCCCAATTGAGCCTCAACTGTGAATATGCAGCCAGGTGGGAGACTCCACCAGGGGGGAGGGTTGTGGGAGGGGTAGGGGGAATCCCAGTGCCTACAAAACTATCACTTAACACAATGTGATTCACAATAAAAAAAAAAAAAAGAAAAAAAAGTTAGCACCCCCCCAAAAAAAAATGCTGCAGGAAATTTCTTTACCTGACCATACTTGGCAGCCACATGGAGGGGTGTGCAGTGCTGGTCATCCACTGCGTGGGGGTCACCTCCATGTTCCAGGATCAGCGAAGCCACTTCCTTGTAGCCACTGGCACAGGCCATGTGCAGCTGCAACGCAGAGACAATTGGTGATTTTAAATACAAAAGTCTGTTCAGTGATTTAAACAGAGCCATTTAGAAAATTACTGCAAAGAAAAAAACATAAAGCAAGATAACACGCAACTGAAGCAAAAATAAACCAATGGGATTGCATCCAGCTAAGAAGCTTCTGCAGTGCAATGGAAACTTTTCAATAAAGTGAAAAGGCAGCCAACAAAATGGGAACGAATATTTGCAAACTACGCAATTGGTGGAAGATTAATAAACAGGTTATAAAAAGAGCTCAAACTCAACAACAAAAGTAAACAATGGACCCGGTGCGGTAGCCTAGTAGATAAAGTTCTAGCTTTGCACACGCCGGGATCCCATATGGGCACTGGTTCGTATCCCAGCAGCCCACATTCCCATCCAGCTCCCTGCTTATGGCCTAGGAGGGCAGTTGGGGACAGCCCAAAGCCTTGGGACCCTGCACCCACATGGGAGACCCAGAAGAGGCTCCTGGCTCCTGGCTTCAGATTGGCTCAACTCCGTCCACTGGGTCACTTGGGGAGTGAATCATCAGATGGAAGATCTTCCTCTCTGTCTCCCCTCCTCTCTGTATAACTGACTTTCCAATAAAAAAATAATAAAATAAATCTAAGAAAACCAAGCAAACAATATAGTTAAGAATTGGGTAAAGGACGTGAACAAGGAATCGTCAAAGGATGAAGTGCAAATGGCCAACAGACACCAGAGACTCACTCGAGATCACTAGCCACCGTCGAAACAGAAATAAAAACCTCAGCTTACCCCAGCTGCTAGAGCTATTGTCCGAAAATCAAAACAAGCAACCAAAACCAGTAAACACTGGTGAGCAATGGAAAAAAACACCCTTGATCGCACTGATGGCGGGAATGCAACCTGGCAACTGTAATAAAGACAGTATGGAGTTTCCTCAGAAATCTGAAAACCCGTTTGCCACATCACCCCGCCGTCCCTCTCCTGGGGACTTATCTAAACAAATTAGAATTTACCCACACCCACTGTAGTTCCAGTCACAATCACTGAAACATGGAATCAACCCAAATGTCCATCAGTGGACGGCGAGATGAAGAAAATGTGGAATACAAGTCAGCCATAACAATGTGAAATCCTTTCATTTGTGGCAACACGAATGTAAGTGAAAACGGTTATACTTGACACAATAACCCTGTCTCAAAAAGACAAGTGTTGTATGCTTTCTCTGATACGTGGCAGCTAATTCAGAACATACAGAAGAGTGTAGGTATGGAATCATCATTTTGGGATAGAACAATTTTTCTTTATTTTTATTGGAAGGCAGATTTATAGAAAGAGAAGGAGGGACAGAGAGAAATCTTCCATCTGCTCATTCACTTCCCAAATAGTCACAATGGCCAGAGCTACTTGGTCTAACCCAAAGCCAGGACCCTGGAGCTTCTTCTGGGTCTCCCACAGGGATGCCTGGGTCCAGCCTTGGGCTGCATTGCCTCTGCTTTCTCAGACACAGCAGCAGGGAGCTGTATCAGAACTGGAGCAACCGGAACGCGGACTAGCACCCTGTAAGTGCTCACACCACAGTCGGAGGCTTACCACACAACACCAGCCCCAGGACTGGTCTTGGAATTCCAGGGGCAGTGTGGTCCTGTGATCTTTTAGCTTTATACTTGTTCAAACTTTGCTTAGTGGCAAATTAAGCCTGTGACTACAGGGGATCAAAATCGTGACTCTGCAAATGCCATTGAAGAGGAGCATGGGGAATGGGGGAAGGGTGACTGTCCCCGTGGAATGCACAAAACCAATGCAATTTATATCAATAAAAAATGTAGAAGTGAAACAGAATACACATGTAATTTCATTGGTTCAAGTGGACATTATTGGCATTCTTTGAAACAAAGGTGAATTACTTGTTGCTTCCCTTCTGTTTCAGATAATATGTATTTTCTCCCCTGTAATTCCTACCCCCTTTCACTCTAATCTATTATATTGAAATGGAAGCTAAAAGTCTTAACAGTTTTTCCTTTTTTGCCAAGAAAGCAAAGGTACTGACTAGCTGTCCTATTCCAGACGCTGCCCCTGCTCTTGTGGGTTGGAAGTTCAAGCTAAAGACACTCTTCTCCATATGCCCAAGGACAGGCACATTTGGAAGGATTAGTTAATTCCAGACAGCTGTACGGTGATCCCAGTTTAGTTTCTAACGAAAGCTGAGGTTTGCAATTTAGGCTTTCTTTTTTCAGATTCCTGTTTTGAAGGTAGACGCTGTAAACTATCATATTCAACTCCAACAAGGTTCAAAGTGTCAGTGCAGCTTTATTGCATGAACATAAAAATAACAAGAAGAAACTATTAAGAAAGGAAAAGCCAAAGTATTAAAAATAAAAAAAAAACTAGGCATGATAGCACGGAATTTAGTAGTTGTCTTGCTGTTTTCACTGCAAAGATAAAATAATAGTAAATTTTTAAAGGCTGATGAGAGTAAATTTTGAATAAGCTATGTGGCAAAAACTTTTGCTAACTTTGGGCTTAATTATGCTTTTCAATATACAGTGTCTACCTACATATTTATTTCTTATATTATCAACAGCATCAGGACAATATATATATATCCATATATATCTAAAACACATACCTTGAGATATCAAGTTACACATTTTCCCCTACTTTGTTATGTAAATAATTAACCTCACGAATACTCCCAGGAGAGTTCCCATTGTAGAGAAGAACAGTACTATACTGAATAAGAGGGGCAAGCAGACACCCTGTCCTCATTCCAGACCGGAGGGAAGATGCGTCAGCTGTCCCCCACGCAGTATGCTATGGACCGCTGCTTTGTGACAGCCTTCTTGGTTTTGAGGACTACACCTTCTATATGCGATTTGGGGAACGCTTTTCTTTTATCATGAAGGGAAATGAAATTTAGTAATGCTCTCTCTGCATCTTTTAAGGTTTTCATTCTTCATTCCACTGACATGAATTTATTTAGTTGTGAATGTTGAATCACCCTTACATTTCTGGAATAAATCCCCTCTAACTGATGTGTTTTCATGTAGTTTTTTTTAAGATTTATTTTTATTAAAAGGCGGATATACAGAGAGGAGAGACAGATAAACTTCAGTTGCTGCCATCTTGTTGAGAATCCTGTGTCTGTGACGTCAGTTGCTGCCATCTTGTTGAGAATCCTGTGTCTGTGACGTCAGTTGCTGCCATCTTGTTGAGAATCCTGTGTCTGTGACGTCAGTTGCTGCCATCTTGTTGAGAACCCTTGTGTTTGTGTTCTTAAGGATGCAGCCCTGCCACTTAGTTTTCCTTTCCCACCATGTCTTGGGTTTTGGCAACAAAGTAACCCTGGCTTAATAAGATGAGTGTCAGAGCTCCATCTCGTTTAATATTCTAGAACAGTTTGAAGAGTTACCCGCACTTTGAATGTTTTGTAGAATTCAGTAATACAGCCACCATGGCCTGGAATTTTCCTGGATGGGAGACCTGGAGAACTGCATTAGGCCCAGTCCTTGCTGATGGCCAGCTTAGCCTCCCTAATCCCTCTTGGCTTAATCTTGGAAGGTTATGTAAGTCCAGGAATTCATCCATCTCTTTGAGGTGCCCCAGCGTATTAGCATACAGCTCTTCATGTTCACTTTCTTAATGAACTTTTTAATTTCTTTAATGACCCTTTGGTCACTCAGTATCATACTGCTTAATTCTCAAGTGTTTAAGAGTGTTCCTTGTACTTGTTGAGTTCTAGGTTTATCCCTTTATGGTCTGAGAATAAACACAGCAATGGTTTCAATCCTTTTCACTTTTCTAAGCCTTGATTTGTGACCCATTTGTGGTCCATCCTAGAAAAAGTTCCATGAGCTGATGAGAATGTGTATTCTATAGCAATTGGGTGAAATGTTCTGTAACTGCCCATTTTCTGATATGATGTGTCTTTATTGATCTTTCTGGATGATTTGTCCCATGATGAAAAGGGGTTATTAAACTCACTATTACTGTGGTGGAGTCTATCTCTCCCTTTGCATTTAATAGTACTTACTGTGTCTGTTTGTGGTCATTGTTGGGTATACATATTTTTTATTGCTGTGTCTTTCTGCTGAATTGAACCGTTTACTTTAGTATAATATCCTTCTTTATCTCTTCTTACAGTGTTTTATTTAAAGTCTGTTTTATCTGGCATCAAGATAGTTCTGTCTGCTTGCTTTGGGTTTGTTTTTTCTGGTACATAGTTTTCCACTCCTTTATTTCAGTTTGTGGGTTTTTGTGAAGCAAGTTAGTTGTAGGCAGAATACAGTGGGGTCCTGATTTTTTATCGAACTTAAGTTTTATCATTGGTGAATTTAATCCACCTACATTCAAGGATGATGCTGACAGATGAATACTCTGACATGCCAGGCTGTTGACTGGATACTGATTCTACCTGTTTTGCTGGTGAATTTGGTGCTGACACGTGTTCTCATAGTATTTTTAATGCAGGTTACCTTTCAGAATTTCTTGTAGGGCTGCTCTGTGGTAGTGAATTCTTGTAGTTTTTGCTCATCTGGAAAATAATTTTTTCTCCTTCACTTTTAAAGATCTGCCTTGCTGATATAATGTTCTTGGTTGGAAGTTCTTTTCTTCTTGTTGTTATTGTTTGTTTTTTTCCTTTTAAGATCTTGAATATATCGTCTCATTCTCTTGTGAACTGCATGGTTGCCAAAAGCTGAGAAATCTGAGGTTAGTCTAATGGGCTTTCCTTTATATGTAATTAGATCCTCTTACAGTCTTTAGGATTCTTATTTTGTCTTTAATTTTTGAAAAATTGGGAAGACATTTTTTGGTTGACCTTGCTTGGGATACTTTAAGCTTCCTGCACCTAAAGACCCATATCTCTTTCAAGACTTAGAAAATTTCAATTGTTATTTCTTTTTTATTTTTTAAAGATTTATTTATTTGTACTGGAAAGGCACAATTTTAACTATTGGGCCCGGCACAATGGCGTAGCCTAGCAGCTAAAGTCCTCGCCTTGCACACGCCCG